TATTATTTGATTGTATTGTCAAGTAATGCTGAAAAGAAACCCAATCGTATAAACCTATACTATACAATTCTTAGTGTGTATGTTTTTTTTCCAGCAAACTCATTCATTAGATGACAGGGCAAAAACGTTGAAAAAATTAAGGAAAGCCGTATTTTTCTTATTTAACAAACACTTTGTTAAATTAAATGAGAAAATGGCAATAATATCAGTGGTCTTTTTGTCACAATAAAGCTTTCCTGCTAAACCTAACATTTAGTTCGTTATTAAATGTGTAACATATAATGTGTACGGTAGTTTAATTATTTTTTTTTAAAAGTGTTTTGTAGGATTCATCATTCAGAATTATAACATTTAACAAATGAAGTAAAGTTAATAAACCCAGTTAACCGCAGTTAATTAATATAAAACAAAAACGTTTTGTTTTCTTGTATAAAACACTGTTTTTCTTGTCAGAACACTAACAGTATGATATACCTATATTGTATTAAAAACACATTCTAAATTCTAAATAATGTTATTATTTGTTTTATTGTAGATAATTATCATTTATGATTTATTAGTTATTCACCATATCACGTACTAACTACAAAATAAAAAGTAAACAAAAAAGTAAAAAATAATTTTATTACAAGAACAATTTATCATTCAATTGTAGCACATTTTATTTAAAATGTCAATTACTTTGAAAATAACCAAAAATGAACTACAATTTTAAATAATGTTAAACATCTTTAATTTTTTACTAAAAAGAAAAGCGTGGACCTTATTCAACAAAGTCTCTTTTAAATTTATCAGATAATGTTGTATATTGTATGTTCTTTGGTAATTTAAATTTGGTTCAATATTTGTATGTGTGACAAACATTTCATAATACCTAACTCAATGAATTTGTACTTTGTTGAATAGGGCCCACGCTTTTCTTTTTAGTCAAAAATTAAAGATGTTTAACATTGTTTAAAATTGTAGTTAATTTTCGATTATTTTCAAAGTAATTGACATTTTAAATAAAATGGTGCTACAATTGATTGGTAAATCGTTCTTTTAATAAAATTATTTATTACTTTTTAGTTCAATTTTTACTATTTTTTAGAAAAGCATGTTTTTAAAAATGTTTTTTAGATTAAGTATTACCTTATTCGTGATGTTCCTATCCTGTGTGGGTTTACCTGGTTATAGAGAAACCATCAACCCATTAATTGAGTCTCTGGTATTACCGTTCTAACTGTATTTCGTAATGCAGTTTCGTAATCTGTTACAATAATATGATGGTTTCCCAAGTTTACCACTTGAAATTGCAGTTCCTCTTTTAAAAATTGTAATAGTCTCATTTATGTGTTCTCTGTAAATCGATTTAACAATTCATATACAATTGGTACTGACTGGAAAAAGGGAATATAATATAGTTTTATAAACTTTAGTTAACTATAAAATTCGACACTTAACATTAATGGATAATTTACAACACTTTTTGTCCTTGATATTATTGCCGTGTGCGTTTTGTATTAGTATATCCACTCTAACCAGCGGACGTGGAACACACTCAAAGTTAAACAACATTGACAAAGCCAATGGCCAGCTCCGAATCCTTTAGGAACTATATTACAGTCAGCAAAACCTGCGCTAAAATAATAATTAACCAGTACCTCCTAATACGGTTGTAAGCCATTATTAGGGGAAAAACTTAAGCAGCTTATGGTTATATATAATAAACTGAGGACGACTCAGTCTGTCGTTAGTGCTGAAGATGACAACATTGTTGTCAAAATACGTCGTTTACGCGGAGAGTATATCATTTTTTATGGTTAAGGGTTTTAAATATTATTTTATCGTAATTAGGGATTATATTTAATTATGCTTACAGTAAGATTAGTGGTTGTATCTGTAAATATTGAACCTTAGGGATTAGAGACTATATCCAATTATGATCACTTAAAAGTTGTCCCAGTGGCTAAATTTAGAAGTAAACTGTTAACTGAATGTAATTAATAAGTAGCAAGGTGACGCCTTCAAATAAAAACACAACATATTTAATACTTTGAAAACAACTATAATGACACACAGAAACACTGATTGATCATATACGTTACAGGAGAGTGCAAATTCCCCGGACCAAGCCCAAGCCCAATCGGTGAGATTCCGGCCAGTGTGTCTCAAATAATACATGGTGTATGTACAGGGTGTTCCGGTACCGAACCATACTAATATATGGGTGAATATCAGTGAGGTATGTATACAAACAAGCCCCTCGTTGCCCGTTTTAGATTATCTCAAAAATTGAGAAATTAACTTTGTTTTTATTATTTTAGTTTAGTAAAAAATTGAATAATTAACCCAAGTCCGATAATAATAAATTTATAAAAAATTAAAGTGTATTTTCGTAACCGGCGCAAAGTCCTCACCATAAAAGAGGGGTCACTTCATTTTTTCAAGTTTTTGAGGTTAAGGATCCAAAAAGGGCTGAAAATGATGCGACCCCTCTTTTAAGGTGAGAATTTTGCACTGGTTACGAAAATACCTGAATTTCACCCGTATATTAGTATGGTTCGGTATCGGAGCACCCTGTATATTATTGTTTTTATTAAAGTCGGTTTTTTGGGGCCCATACACTATAATCAATTTCGACGGTTTTACTCGTCGGTTATACCCATCGTGTTTAAAATCAAGATTCGACAGATGCAAAAACTGTAGTGTTTCGTCGTCGGTTTTGACCGACATGTTTTATCGTGACAATGAAAACCGACGTATTTCATCGTGGTGTATATGTGCTGCCTATTATATATAGCGCCTTCGCGTAATTATGGTTACTGCTCTCGTTCTATCTTACGGCAGACGAAAACAAATGCAATCATACAAAAGCCTGTTAAACTATCCTAACGTGTTTTAAACAATTGCTTAATTATTTTCGTCCCTTTGAATTCGACATGCCGATGGAAAATGTTTACCGCGACGGTCTTTGATAAACTCATGACCTCGCTCTCGTAGTAATACCGTGTCATACCCATACTCTTTTGTTCCTATTAAATCATTAAATTGCTTCCGACGGTTGTAATATACCGTATAGGCGTCTAAGATCAAAGTGTGTGTGGTACTTCAGAGATCAAAAGTTTTTTACATAGAAAATTCCGGTTTGAAAATAAATTAAATTATATCAATTAAATAAATAATTTAATTATTTATAACGACAATAAAGAGATTGTCCCACTACCATAGTTGTTGCATAAAGTCATGTAGGACATAAATGACAACTTGAGTTTACCTTGGGCATACATTATCTAAGCTATATAATTATATACATATGGGATGTAAGCATACATCGTTTAGTGCGGTTATTCACAAGCTTCGATCTCTCTCTCCCACTGCTCATAATGCCGAATATTCTAACTTTCTTAGGACCGTGTTCGATAATTTTACAAAAAAAAAAAAAATATACAGACTTTAAGATGGTTTTTTAAACCTTTGAACAATTTCAGCTCCGAAGATTGTGTAATAATACAGGGTCCGGCAAAAAAACCTCCCTTATTTAGAAATGGCACTGTGTGAGTTGTGGTGGTGGTACAACGGTGGAGTGGGTATCGATCGATAGCTGTATACATGCCATTTTCTTCTGACCTAACCTAAACCAATTGCTAGGAATCATGATGAGGGAGAAGTCTGGTTCCAACAAGACGGTGCCACAGATTACACTTCGCGGCGCTCCCTAGCAATCTTGAGAGAGATGTTTCCTGGACGTCTTCTCTCTTTGCGAGGAGACATCACCTAACCGCCAAGGTCACTTGATTTATCCCCTTGTGGTTTGGGGATTTAAGGAGGCAATCAAACAGGCAGTGGCTGCCATTATACCGGAAATGACACGAAGAGCTATGGCCATTCTCGAAAGTTAAAAGTGTAACCTGTGGCACCGTCTTGTTGGAACCAGACTTCTCCCTTATCATGGTTCCTAGTAAACTGGTTTAGGTAAGGTCAGAAGAAAATGGCATGTATACAGCTATCGATCAATACCCCCTCCACTGTTGTACCAGCACCACAGTTCACTTAGTTCCATTTCGAAATGAGGGAGGTTTTTTACTGACCCTGTATTATACAGGGTGATTCTTTTATCATAAACCAGTCAATATCTCATAGGGTTTAATAAGAAATTAAATTTTTTTTTCATATTATTTTTATATAATGTGATCTCAATTTTTCACAATTTGTTTTTGTTTTTACCCCCCCCCCCCTCAACTTAGATTTTTTGTTGGCAACTTTTGAAACTTAAATGGTATCGTATATATTTTATTACCTCTTTAAATAGAGAATAATGTATTACAAATGTTGACTGGTCGATAACCAGTTTAGAGAAACTATTTTTGAAGTTAAAAGAGTTTAAAAGTTAGGATGGGAGAGGAAGTGCGGTTGGGAAATGCGCGCAGATAAAAATAATACTACACTCCACTTCCCCTCCCATCTTAACTTTTAAACTCTTATAACTTCAAAAATAGTTATCCAAAACTGGTTATCGACCAGTCAACATTTGTAATACATTATTCTCTATTTAAAAAGGTAATAGTATATATACGATACAATCTAAGTTTCAAAAGTTGCTATCAAAAAGTCTAAGTTGAGAGGGGGGTAAAAACAAAAAAAAATTGTGAAAAATTGAGATCACATTATATAAAAATAATATGAAAAAAAAATTTAATTTCTTATTAATCCCTATGAGCTATATGTTTTTTATTACATTTTTTATTGTTTTAGTATCAATGTCTCAATGTTAAACCTTAGATAAATTCTTCTTATTTTTTGTTTAATTTTCTTATGTAAATCCGAGTACCGTCCTTCTTAAGTGGCCACTATCATATTTGACCATACATTCATATTCCCGCTTTGAAGACTTAAAGGAAGTGTGTAGTAGTCACTTAGCTAACGAATCAAGTATAGATTTCTAAAACTGTCTAAGTAAATACCCAGTCCTTAAAAAGGCTTACGTCGCTAACGACTGTTTTCTTTTCTTATCCTTACAGATGTCATATCCCGGCCGCCAGGAACAGACTGCTGATTCGAATCAATAGTAGTTTTAGAGATTTAGGTCTTTTTTTTTAAGATCATTAATGGGTGTAGGTTTTTGAATCACCAGCAAAACGGAACAAATGATGTAAACTATTTCAAACTAACATGTATATTATTAATTTGTATTGTTCTTTTTTTTTCCTTTTCAAATGTTATCATCAAAAAATGAAACTAACAATTAGTTTCATTTTTTGATGATACCATTTGAAAAAGAAAAAAAAGAACAATAAAAATTATTAATATACATATTAGTTTGAAATAGTTTACATCATTTGTTCCGTTTTGCTGGTGATTCAAAAACCTACACCCATTATTGATCTTAAAAAAGAGGACCTAAATCTCTAAAACTACTATTTAACTAAAATATGTAGTAAGTTATGTTAGTAACTAAAATATGTAGTATTTATTGTTTTATTAAAATCTATTTTTGTTTTTTTATTACTATGAGTATATAAACAAAATATAATTTAAAAATTCGTTGATATTAAAAAAATATATATTTGATTTTTATGTTATATGTTATATATTATATTAATATGCAATATATTATGTTATATATTATATTTTATTTTATGTTCTAATAAAATTGTTATACATTAGTCAGTAAATCTTTAAAAAAAAAAAATGTGTTATTAATTTATTATGTCTTATATTATCAATTTATTGAAATAAATTAGCGTTCAAATTTACTAAGTTTATTCATAAAAATATTATCCTATGTAAAATAGGTATTTAGAAAGACCCCTAGTTATCCTAATTACCCACATTATACTAATTGATAATTTTAATCGATTCATTTGATACTTAATCAAAGTGGTCAGATAAAAAACAAAGTTACACAAATAAGTAAATAAAACTGATACTTTTTTTTTTTTTTTTTTTTTTTTTAATAGCCTTTATTAACAAAAAACATTCGGCTCAACAATTAAACAGCAATAACAAGTAAAATGTAAATGTACATTATGGTAATAATATGATTTTAAAGACAAAAGAAAAACAAAACAAAAAAAAAAAACAATCAGAAAACTAAATAACATTGATATAAACTTAAAACTTAAATTAAATTGAGAAGCCAGAGCTCTTTAAAATGGAAAGGATAGCAAAAATGACAGGAGTGGAATGAGTGTTTAATGAATTAACGTTAAAGGGAGGCTGAATGTTAAGGGAAGAGAGGAAATTAAATAGAGAGAGCCTTTTGTTGGTCAAAGCCGGACAGGTAGTAAGGAGGTGAGAGAAGTCGCAAATGGCTTCATCATCATGAAGAGGACAGAATATGGAGCAGAATTAAGGGATAGATGGAATGCATGTGACGGAAGAAGATTATGACCAAGTCTAAGGCGTGAAAAGGAGGATATTACATTTCTGGGAATATTTAAATTACGGAACCAAGGACGAAAGGTAATGGAAGAGGAAATAGAACGGAACCAGCGGGTGGAGCTGAGGTTAACGTTGGACCATTTGTTTTGCCACGCTTTGGCTACAGTGTGACGGAAAAGGCGGAGGAAGTCAGAAGAAGGGGTATTGGAGATGATCGGAATTAAGTGGAATGAAGTGGAATTAGCGAGGAGGTCGGCAACCTCGTTACCCGTAATACCAACGTGACCTGGGACCCAATGGAAAATAACTGATTTATTTTGTGAGAGGATTGAAGAGATTAATGATCTGATGATTAGGATAAAAGGGGAAGGATGAGAATTGAACGGAAAGGATGATATAGCTTGAAGGCATGAAAGAGAATCAGAACAAATTAAATAAGCCGTATTAGGAGCGGAGGAAATGTAAGTAAGAGCATGGATAATGGCGAGACTTTCCGCCGTAAAGGAAGATGAGACTGGATGTAATTTGGAAGAAAAGGATATATTCAAAGCAGGAATAAAAAAGGAACAGCCTGCCGAATTGACTGATACCGAACCGTCCGTGTAATGCATGTATTAGGAAACGAAGAAGAGATATAATCGAAAAAGAGATTGTTGACTATTGAATGGGGGAGAGAACGAAGGGTTTGAACGTGAAGGCCGAGAAAGCTAGTGTTGGAGAGAACTGTGGGTTTAAGAGTGAGGGAATTAAATGGGCAATCATATAAGGGTAGTCTCGAATGCGATTTATATACAAGGGCGGCAATAGGAGAGAGAGAGTGGCAAACCGAGGCTAAAATAGGGAGAGATTTGGGAACGTAACGCCAGGAAGATTTTATATCTGTGAAGAGATTATATATTGGGGAGTTAGGAGAAGAGAGGGATTTAAGTAGAAACTTACCAGCGAGATCCCGGCAGCGGATTTCGATAGGGGGGAGGAGCATTCTACAAATAAGCTAGAAATGGGGGTGGATTTCAAAGCACCTATGATACTACGTAGGCAGGAGGCGAGAATGGAGTTTAATTTATTTCTATGAGTGTGAGAAGCAGAGACAAATAAAAAGGAACCATAATCTATTTTTGAACGAATGACGGAGTTATAAATAAGAAGTAAAGAAGTGGGATGAGAGCCCCAAGAGGTGCCTGTAACGCAACGGAGGAAGTTAGCCCAACGGGAGGTAAATGAAAGTAGATGGTTAAGCTGAGGTACCCATCTGAGCTTTGGGTCCAACTTAAGCCCCAAGTAGGTGACATTATCAGAGAGAGGAATGATATGTCCCTCGAGACAAATAGGAGGCAGGTCTAGAGGGATGCGTTTTCTGGTAAAGATCATTAATTGACTTTTATCAGGCGCGGGATCAAATGATGATGAAACAAGGAAGTTGGATAAAAAAGAGAGAGAATTATTAAGGGAATCAATAGCTGTATAGGCAGATTTGTGGGATGAGAAAGTAACGATATCATCAGCGTAAAAAAGGGCTGAGACGCGTTCAGTAGAGAGGGCGGAGCTGATTTTGCTCATATAAATATTAAAAAGAATTGGACTAAGGCAACTGCCCTGAGGGAGTCCACGAAAAGAGGAGCGGCAGGAAACTAGACCTGAAGGAGAAGTAAAAGTAAGAGAGCGGTGAAAAAACAAAGAGGAAATAAAATTACAAAGAAAAGGTGGAATAGAAATAGAAAGTAGGCGAGAAATCAAGGTAGGTATATGAACCGAATCGAATGCACTCTTAATATCAACAAAAGCTGCTGAACAAAAGTATTTGCTACAAAATTATTTGTAGATGGAACCAGTAAGAGTGGAAAGGCACTCCATGGTTCCTAAGCCTCTGCGGAAACCGTATAGATTATTGGGAAGAAAATTGTTTTTTTCGATAAACCAATCCAATCGGTTCTTAATTATGTGTTCCACAGTCTTGCATAATGCCGACGAAAGAGCAATAGGACGAAATTCGGCTGAAGTGGAGTTGTGTTTAGGAATAGGAATGACATTAAATTGGCGCCAAGAGTCGGGGACAATGGCGTTAATCCAAAGAGAATTAAGGATTGAGAGAAGGATATCGTAACCATAAGCAGGAAGATTCTTGAGCATAAGGGGGGAGATGCCGTCTAGGCCAACGGCAGATGAAGTGCGCGATGTGATGGCATAGAAGAGCTCACTTGGAGTGAAAGGAGAGGTAAGAGGATGCGAGGCTGGATCGAAATCCGGCCAAGGAGGAAGGGGTAAAGGAGAAGATTCTTCTGAAGAGGGAACGTAAGAAGGGGCAACTTTATTGCAAAAAGAATTAAACCATGATTCGTTCAAGGAGCGGGGAGGAGATTTGAACAGGCAGCTTTTAAATCGCTTAGCTGTGACCCAAATGTCACTAAGAGAGGAGGAAGGATTTAGAGAAGAACAGAAAGATTGCCAGGCGTTCCTCTTTGCCTGTTTAAGTGTGCGCATGGTAGAGGTGCGTGTAATTTGGTATGCGTGAAAATCCACAAGTGAGCCAGAAGCTCTATATTTTTTGAACGCGTCGGTACGATCATTGACAGCTTTGGTACACAAAGGAGACCAAATAGGGGAGGGAGGAAAATGTTTTTTAGTTATTTTGATATTAGGAAGAGAACGATTAGCGGCTTTAAGAGGATGGAAACAAACCAGTTATAGTCAGCAATGGGTGATACGGGAGTAAAATGAGAAAGAAAATTGGACTTATAGATTTGAAAAGTGGGCCAGCCAGCTTTAGAGTAGTTAAATTTATTAAACGTTTGAGAAAAATGGGAGGATGAAGGGGATGAAGAATTCTTATAAGAAATGAGGATTGGGTAATGATCGCTGCCGTGCGTACAATCAAGAACTGACCACGTGAGGAGCCAAGAAAGGGTAGGAGAAGATATGGTAATATCAACGGTTGAGTAGGCGAGGGGGGGACGGTTAGCCAGAGTCGGCTCTCCTGTGTTGAGTATACAAAGATTAAGGGCGGAGATGGAGGAAAAAATCAAGTTGCCACGGTGGTTAAGATTTTGGGCACCCCATGAGGGGTGATGACCGTTAAAGTCCCCCCCTAAAATCGAATGGGAAGAGACTAAACTGGAGATTTTGTCAATGAGGCGAGGAGGAGGGTTGGAGGATGGAGGAATATAAATAGACCAAAGAGAGATAGGAGAAGATGATTTAGTGAACGCCTCAATACCGACTAGATCGATAGAGTGATCAAGGAGGGAGGATTGAAATTGAGCGTCTAGTACTATATGGTTAATTTGAATGGAGTGATGGGAGGCAATGGCGACGCCACCGTATCCATCACAGCGGTCTGAACGTATAATATTAAAATGTGGTAAGGAAAGATGTTTGTTCTAGAGAAGCCAGGTCTCGGAGAGTAAAGCGAAAGAACATTTTTGGTTAGAAAGAAGAACAGAAAGGTCTTGTAAACGTGGGAGTGAACTTCTAACATTCCATTGGAGAATATGAAAAGAAGGGATGATGATATCGGAATTAGTATGTGTCGTCATCGTCGATGGCTGGGAAAGGGAGATTAAAAAGGGGTGATTCAATGACAGACTGGAGCGTTGAAGGAGATGTGAGAGAAGAAGGGTCGCTTGTGAGCGAACGAGAGAGAATTTGAGCAAAAGCTGCTACCCAATTAGGGTAATCATTGTTGGAAAAATGATTATGTTCCATATAATTAAGGAAACTGCCATTTGGAGAGGTGGATCTGTTATTGTTTGAAGGAAGAGGAGGGAATGATGGAGTGGAGGATACGT